GGCAAGGCGAACTACAGGGCGATGAACTGACACTCGTCGACAGCACCATAGCCTCAGGAATGGAGTAACCTTTCGATCGACCAACATTGGGAACTAGTCAGAGATACCATCAAGAGGGCTATCTCTGAAAACGTCCCAGTAATCAAAACAATACCAGGGAAGCGGACCTCACGGCTGAAGTGAGGCACTGACCACCTTTTAAAAGCTAAGAGGAAAGCATGACATAAGCGGAGGACCTCCAGAAAAAGTCTGACCACGCCTCATGTATGGCCCTTAGAAATCGACGTAACATCAATGTGAGTGGAGACAGGAGGTCGTTCCAGACCAACCGTGCCCAGAAGCTGGGGGTGAACCCAAAATCTTTATCGACTCACGGCAGGCAGAAAACTCCACTAGCCAAGGGGCTTGGACCCTGAAGGGCCGGAACGGAGAGAACCTCTCTCGATGTGGCCAAGGCCTTAGCATCGCCTTCGACACGCAACTGAACGCGTCCCCATCCGACCAAGATTGCCAACTGTCCGACCAGTATTCAGCACCGCCAACTGCAGTAGAGTTACCTGGAATAAAGGTAACTCCTGCTATGGTCCTCTAAAAGTTTTCAAAGCTCTGCGTAGGGAAGTCACCAGGATGGGATGACATCCGGCCGGTTGAGTTGAAACACTGCGCGGGTGCCTCATTCAGCCCGATACGTAATCTGTTCCGACACTCCTTAGACAATCATATCCTTCCACGAGAGTGGAAACGTGCTATTCTGTCTCCCATCTTGGAGGGAGGAGACAAGCAGAACCCGAGAAGCTTTCGACTTATAGCCCTTCTGTCAGTGGTGTCAAAGGTAATAGAGAGCCTGGCAGGCGACTATGGTACTTGAAGAAGAGGGGGGGCACTAAATGGTGCTAAACATGGTTTCAGAAAGGGCAGATCCTGCGCCTCAAACATTCTGGTTGTCGGTGATAAGTAGACGACGTGCCGAGACCTCTAAATTCCTTCTTATGTCGTTTTCCCTGGTTTTGCTAAGGCTTCTGACACAATCCCAAACACCATTCTTATTCACGAGATATCAGGATTGGGCATCAAGAGACAAGTGCTCTCCCGGCTACAGGACTATTTAGACGGCAGACGATTCTCCACAAAGACCAACCGAGTTTGCTTGACTCGGAGGACATCATCATCTGGTGTATCATGAGAAGCGACTCTGGGTCCGCTGCTATTTTTTCTTTTTGTGAACAACCTCTCACTGAATCTCGGCTCCCCAAATCCGCTCTACTCTGATGAAGCGAAGTTATGGACAGCTGTGACGTTGGAAACAGAATCAAGTGCACTGCAAAGTGACCTCAGATTACTTGCAGTATGGGCGGATATTAATAGACTAGCACTTAACTTAGATAAGTGCTGAGCCATGCCTTATACCCCAGACTCTCGGAAGGTACCTTATTCTCTCTGTGGAACACAACTTTCCCACACCACCATGGGAAAGACCTAGGACTAATACTGACAGACAAGCTAGACACTAGCTCCAGTTATTCAGAAGACGCCTCCGGAGCCTACACAGTGCTGCACTCCATGCGCGGAAAACTCGGTGCCCTGACCCCAGAACTCTTTTGGAAGTTGTGCGAGACCTACATACGACCTCATTTAGAGGTCCACAACGTCATTGCTCTACCATATCTTAAAAGAGATATAAACCTTCTAGAGAAAGTCCAAAAGGAGGGCTACAAAGGGTGTTATGGGAATGAGGCGAAAACCCCACGAGGACTGGCTGAAAGCTCCAGGACTCAACTCCCTAAGCTACCGTAGATTATGCCGTGGCTTCATAACAGCTTACGGAGTGCTGAGCAACTCAAGTCATTCGAACAGTGGAATCCTACCGAACGGCCCCCATGGTGACCCTCATGGTAACCCAAGGAGAATCGCGCACCAAAGGGCAAAGACCTTTGTGCGTTTGCAATTGTTCTCCCTGCGAGTTTGCAGCTACTGGAAAGCATTGCCTGCTGAGATCGCTGCTGCCCCGTCTGTCGACAGCTTCAAGAGGAGGTTGGGCAGTTAAGCGGTGACGCACGGCTTGCGCCTATCCAGGTGGGATATGGACTAGGCTGACACGACCTACTAATTTGGTACGGTCAACCCGTTATCGAATACACTGTAACACCGCTGTCACCGCGAGCTTGGTCCAACCCTATACTTCCCCGCAGACGTCTCCTTCAGTTACCGTCTCCTAATTGTAGGATTACTAACTCTACTCCCACAAGCGGCCCTTTAATGTTATTTTTTCCTGCTCTTCCCACCGGCTTTACGTTCTCTCACTTTAATAAGAAGTCTCCCTATCACCCCTCTCCAATGAATCACCGATGTTTCTTCTTCCGTACCGTTTCCTTTTTTTAGTCGTTTCTCCTATTGTTTATTTTTCTTCTCACTTCTTCTCTCTTGGTTTATTTGATCATATTTTCCGTCTCCTTTTTACAACCAGTTCAACTAGATGTCTGCTGGCATGACGCTTGAGGAACCCATCCACACCACGGTCTTTGGAACAAAACATCAACATACTCCCTACAAATTTAACCAGCACCCAACCGCCCACCGCGCTAACCAGAGCTACAACAGTCCAGTGGGTAGACCTACTGCATTCAAGTCTGCCACAGACCTGGAACCGTTCCACAAGACCCAGAAGTGAGCGCGACGAAATCAACTGGTGTACATTAGCTCGCAAAAAGATATTGGACATCGGATCTGGCAGGAACGAAAGTCGTGTTTAACGAATATGTAAATTATCATTCAAGAAAAAAAGGAGAAACGATTAGGCAAGTTCAATCTAAAGAAAAGGTAATGCTGGTCAAACTACTTAAGTATTTCCATTTGAAACATGTTGTACATGGGAGGAAGCACTACAGCATATCCTTTGTATTACTAAAATGAAATGCATCTCTAGGTCCATTGAAATGTCAAGGTATACTATACATATAATAATAAATGATACTAGTAACAATATATCACCTCCTTGATGAAAAGTTCTATTTTTGTTCATGCTAAACTGGACATATATCCACCATAGGCGCTATAATGCTCGACATCGGTGACTAGTGCTGAAATTCCACTGTAAAGTTGTAGTTATTTCTCTGCATTTTTGTATACTGTTTATAGCTGCAGTGGACGAAATGGAGCCATTCAACCATTCGGAAGTAGAACATTGTGGTAAATGCATGATTCCTTCCAATATCCAATACTGATAGTGCGAGAGTAGAAAACTGGTAGTTTTTGATCTCTCGCGTCTAGTTCTTAGGGCTTGGTTCTAGTTGTTCGGTTTACTCCTGCAGTGGACGAGGAAATCCCCTCTGCTTTCTTGCTTTTAGCTTCGGTGAGGTGGATGTTTTGTGGGTTAGTAGGTTGTAATTTGTAGAGTGATTAGGGAGCTACGGGTTGCTGGGAAGTTTAGAGAACTGCCGTGACTCCTGTCTGTGTAGGTACCTGAAAGAGAATAGTAAGGTAGTGGTAAAGGAATGAAGAGAGAAATAAGGAAGAGAAAAAATAAAGGAAAAAATAATAATGATGTAGGGAAGAGAAAGGGGAAGGAGAAGAAAAGGAGGGGTGAAAAGAGAAATGAGAACGAAAGAAAAGTATTTGGGAATTGCCCGAATGTTCGCGTGGGTTGAATAAGTGTTACGATGCTTCTTTGGAGGATTTACATGTGATACCATCAGAACGTTTATCACAGGTTGTACGATTGCGGAGAATTTCTATGGAGACTAAGGAGGCAATATTTGAGAAAAGTACTGCTGAGATACTGTAATTCCAATCTAATGGCAGCTTTCCAAGATTTTGTTTACGGCAAGAGAAAACAGATGGAAACCAAGGTACAGGGAAGTCATTTGCAACTATATTTTAACTTATGTACATGGAGTATCACGCTTACTACTATATGTATAGTTTTAGACTTCATGAGTATATTCTGATTAAAAATATGCTGTCGTTTGGATTTTCCTAATTTTTTTTTGAGGGGTGGGGAATATGTCTGGACTATCTGTCTGGTCTATCTGTAACAATGCATCAGGAAAAGGTTGTCGAGTTTAAGGTCACATTAGTCCTTGTCTTAACTGATTCCTACTTTCAGTATTGCCTATGCATAGATACTATTTTCTGTTGAACTCCGAACCATTAAATAAAAGATTGTAACGCGTCTAGGTTGACAAGGATCGCAGAAGCATATATATATATATATATATATATATATATATATATATATATATATATCGAAATATTGAAATTAATCAAAAAAATATAACGTGAAGTAACAGATTCATCAAGATAAATTTGTGTCTGAAAACTCATTAGTTTTACTCTTAGAAAACAAAAGAAACACTTAAAGCTATGAAGTATTTTCAGTACTTAAAAGTATATTTATTTCAATTTTTGCTATTATTGCAGATCAAAACCTATTTTAAATATCTATTCTTAGTAAATAGTTAAGAGTTTATTTATGGCTTTTATAATTATTAGTAACATTAAGAATGAAAATAATAAATGCTTTCTTGAATAGGTATCCGGTTTACCATTCAATGTAACAATAGTTGAGAGACTTCAGAGAAACAATTTGTAAAGTAAATTGATAAATAAATAAGTTGGGATTTCAATAAATAGGCGAATTCCCTTTGAAATTAGAAAGTAAATGGGACAGGTATATTATATATATATATATATATATATATATATATATATATATATATATATATATATATTCGATAAATACAACTTCTTTAGAAAAAAACAAAGTAATCTGCAGCATAGAAACAAAGAAAGAGTTAATAAAGCCCAGAAAAATAACAATGAGTATGACAATAGTAATGAAACTGATAGAAATGGAATTTCCCTCCCTTTTTTGTGTGAAATCTTCGTTGTTCTAAGATTGATGGATACGGTGTATAGGGTTCTTAGTGGTTCTGTCCAGATCAATATTTGATAAATCTTGGCATAATGAAGATTTTATACGGCGTTTTGTCATATATGCGGTTTTAATATCCTTGATGATATGGATTAACACTTTTTCGGGTTGTTGTTCCACTCACAGTCTCTCCATAACCATAATCTGGTGAACAGACTTGTGCATCGTTTGCGATTAATCGGTTTTCACTTGTTGTATACCTTGAGTCTGAAGGGTAGGCTTGATTATTGCTTACCATTAGATTTCTTTGATTATTTGTCTTTCGCAAAGGTGGATTATTGTCTCTTTTCTCATCTGGATCTGCATAACCATATTCTCCATGCATCATTTCTGCTGGTAAGTCAGATGGTGGTTGCCAGTTGCACTGAGCTTCTTCAGGTGCTTCTGCCCAGGTTTGTTTTTCACCAGAAGCGAAGAAAGCGTAGAAAATAACACCAGCAAAGTGAACTAGACTAGCAATCAAGAAAACTATTGGCCATCCATCTTTATTCTACAGAAAATCATTTGAAAAATCATTTGAATTAGTTGTTGGAATTAAAAGTAACTGATAATTAACTGTCAAAGTGACAAAATGTCTTCAGCGAAGTCTAATCTAACTATTCTCATTATTTCTGTCTGACTTAGACTTAAATATTTAAACCAACCACTGTACCGCTTCTTTTTTAGATAATCGCAAGGATTTTGAGAAGATGCGGAATTGATTGTTGATTAAGCTATCTGAGATAGTGGTACTTTGGTAGACTGATATGATGGATGCGAGTTGGTGTATGAAGTTGGAATAGAAACCCCGGTCGCGGCCGAATTTAAACCATCGACCTTCGGATACCTATGTGACCCCCTTCCTTGCTGATCTACGAGGTTCAGCTGTTGACTGTATCTTCACTTCACTTTTCGAGGCATACTAATACGGGAATTACTTTCACACTGGTTAATATTCATCGGTTTGTGTGTATCTGTGTATGTGACTAGAAATAAATGACAGTATTCCTTGACCAAAGGCTGAAATTAAAAAGTGTCTTAAAAAATATTTTAAAAAGTGATTCTAAAGGTTACCCTGGGGACTTCTGAAATAACAGGTTATTCCTGGTGATGACTGAAGGTAAAATTAAAGTCTGGACCACAATTAGATTCGAAGCAGCGATCTCCGGGTTACCTGCCCTGTGCTCTACCAACTGGACTACGATATTGGACTGTTAACCAAAGCTTAATTTAATCTGGAGGTTTGTGGAGATATGTTGATTGATTTCAGGTTGGAATTCGTCATGGACTGACATCAGCTAGAAGAACACTGGAAACCAGGGAGCAGTGGACAGCCCTTTCGTCCTAGTATGGGACTCCTCAGCAGTGCGCACCCATGACCCTGCCAGGGATATAACTCAGAACCTTCGGATTCTTCTGACAGCACGTTGCCACTGAGCCACCGGGTCGGAATCCAATGGTTTGCATTTCGTACTTCTGTCGGTTCATTGGATCCCGACTCGGCGGCTCAGTGGCAACGTGGTGGCTGCGGAACCTGAAGATCCTAAGTTCCATCCCTGGCGAGGTCGTGGGTGCGCACTGCTGAGGAGTGCCATACTACGATGAAAGAGCTGTCCAATGCTCCCAGGTTTCCAGTGTTCCTGTAGCTGATGTCAATCCATGATGAACTGGAACCTGGAATCTTAATTTCACTTCAATCACCAAGGATGATCAACACTTGGCATCAATACAAGTCTGCCAAACCACGGCCATCTCAGACGGACAAGCTTATAACAAGTTAAGTTTCTTTATCTTGGTCTAAAAGATAGTTGTTTGGTGAAATACAGAAATGTAGTCGATTATGTCTCTATTTGTTATGGTGGCGTCTATAGTCATTCTATTTTCAGAAATACGTAAGTCATCTGGTCATTTACTACATGAATGCACGATAGAAACTGGATTACATCGATCTGTTTGCCTTTAAATAAGTTAACTGTGTTTCCATTATAATATTTTTATAATTAGCTGACTGCAAGATGACTGCGTTTGTGTACGAAAAGTTAAACAACAATGTTGTCAGAGTTAAAAACAAGTAATGTAATGTTTAGGAGTCTCTGGTACATTAAGATTCAACTTGCTTGATTCAGAAGCAAAATAATCAGTGGTCGAATACTTTAAAACAGTGGAGATGCGGAAGGCGTTTTCATCATATTTGATGGAGGATTTGTCTTTAACATTCAACTGAATTCAATGTTTCCATTACTGAATGTGCCGCGACTGAGGAAATATGCTTATTCTATTCATGGATTAGTGTCAGAAACCCACATAGTTTGAATAGTTTATAAACATTTAAAGTTATTTTCCACTCATTAAGAAATGAAACTTAGTACACTGATTACATTCAAGGATTTGGAAGATCTATTCTGAAGACAGTTAGTAAAGTTTCACTCAACATCGGATAACTAAAACTGATATTCGCCTAGATTTACCGCCTCTCACGATCTCAGATGAAAACATTTTCCACAGCGAGGATGGAAATCGCATTCTTCAGTCAACAAATAATTCACCAGTAAGTTAAGTAAACAGCCCAGTTCATTGTGCACCTATAATTTGCTCCCATGCGACAACGTACACTCACCAATAACAGGCTGAAGTCTGTGAACATATTTTAGAATTGACTGGTGAGAGTAAGACTGTAGTAATATTAACAGCTCTCTTCCGAAACGCTTCATAACCTTTGTAACATCTCATCTGTACTGGAAGTTTCTTCAAAGTAATGTACAGAGTTGATCAACACTATTGTAAAGAATTTCGACTGCATCACTTCTGCATTACCAACTCACTGGTGATCTTTGTGTTCTAAAACACTACATACACTCATTGGTCTTTTCATAATCTGAATATATAATTTTATTATCTTGTAGAATTCTTCTGTCCGTGTATCACATTTTTCATTGAATCATTTGACAATCTATGTGCAGTACAAAGTTATTTCTACACTCCTTATATAATACGTCTTTCCTTTTCAGCTTCCACTACTTCATTTCCCCTTCCAAATTGTTGCATTTCTTACCGAAAAACTTCTCTGCGTACACCATTAGTATGTAAATAAACTCAAAGAACTCGGATTGAATAAATGTACAACTCTTCAGCTTTTCAGGGTGATATCATCGAGAAGGTCATTCTCTTTTGCTGTTATATCTGTGTAATTAAAGACTTTTTTAGATGCTACAATAGCCATTGGTTATTCCATAGAACACTCACTTGATTCTTGGTAAGTAATTCTGTTGTAATTGGACAAATCATTCCAGATATCGTTCCAACACCATTGGATAAACCCATCAATATACTGGCATAACGTGGTGCAATATCCAAATGATTAACATTATAACCTATACAGTAAGGAATAAATGGGAAGTCCTAGAAAAGAATATTAACTTTAAAGTTACTGAAGGTTAAATGGTTGTTCCAAACTAATACATATTGACCCGTCATTTGATACTGTAAGTTTAACAATGTCATTCGCTTACATGTAAAGCTCCAGAACCTAAAAGCACTAGTATACGTTGAAAATATAAAGATTATATTGCTATGGTCCCCCCCTAGTTTGAGTAAACTTGCCTTTGCATTTTGCAGAGGTTCAACTGCACACTAGTAAAGTAGTCACTGAAGTATCAGATAAAAATGAAGAATAGTTTCCTTCGTCTTTGAGGCTTTTCGGCATTATTAACCTATGAATCCCTCGTGACACAGAAACCAATTACCAGTATCTGTAATACACTTGTCCCATAAAGCAAAAGAATTACGATTTCTTTGAATTTATTCTTTACTTTAAACTACACTACGTCATTTGATGTATTTTGATTGGCGTTCACTAACAGCGGGATCCAGGGGGCGCGTTTCGTCCTACTTGGGACTCATCAGGTGGGTATGACTAAATCTTAATTAAAACCTAACCCAGTACCCATCGCTTCAGCCTCTAAAGCATTATTTATGAGGCTACCAGGTCATGAGAGCTACTTCTTGTGCAACAGGTATCAGTTGTCATTCATGAATAGTTATACTTTCTCATGATTTCTACACAGGCTCCTGTGTGGATGCCTTGATATTTCCAAAAGAAACGTTACCATATGATTTGAGTGGTGTTGCTTGGCACTTTGCAACTGTAGTAACCATTATGACTCAGTAGTCTAGTCGATGATGAGGTCGAGTCCCTCTCATCATTGATGAAAATACATCCTAAATAATCTTCAAGCATTGTCGAAGCATTCGCACAGCAAACCATATGCCAACAGAGACAGGTCAATTTGGTTCAAAACAAAAATCAGCAAGAAGCTACAGGTGTCAACAAATACTTTGTAACATAATTGGGGATTGATTCACTGAGGGCGAAGATTGATATGATTCTGCTGTTAAATCTGAACTTTTGACAAATAAACGTTTTCACGACGTTCATGACATTCACTCAGCTTTTAGCTGACTAATCAAAAGTAAGGAGACATACTACTGAATCATATGAGTAGTTAGAAACAATTCACTCTGATCTACAGGTTTCCCTAACCAGATCAGAGTGATCTGAAAACTGGGGGGACTTTTTAATCATTTTAGGAAAGAGCTCATCAGTAGCATATACGAATAAATTCAGTCCACATAACCAAACTATTTAAGATAAACTGAACCCAGTTAGCTGATTTGGATAGACCGGTGTATGATAGATTGGAGAACGAACGGTGAGGTTTAACAGCCATTCACCACACAAAGATACCTTCACATGATTTTTTTTGTTAGTCCTGTAAGATAGAAATCAATAAATATCTGTGTGCCAGCTGATGTGAGCATACAATGAGCTATGACTCCAGTGAACTGCTAGTTGGTCGTCCTTACTCGATTCTTCGTTCAATATTTACTTACTTATTAGCCTTATTTCACTAAAATTAGAGATGATACACATATCCAGGTAATATTTGGAGTTTACTTGGTTTGAAAACGTTAAATTTTCAGTATAAGCTGGTGATTTATATCCTTTCAAAATTTTTTTCTTGGAAAAATGGTTGGAATTATATTTTTGAAAACCGCACATGAAAGTAAGTAAACGTTTCCGATATAGTATCTCGACAAGTTATCATATCGCAGAGCTATATGTTACCTGTGCACATGAATTTCGAAACTTCGATTTAGTTACTTATAAGGAGTAAACTTTATTACAACAAAAATGTTACATTACGGAGTGAATGAAGGTTAGATAGTTGAATTTAGGAAGCTTGCTATAATTAGACCTGAATTAATCCTATGGGGGAAGGTAAGCCACCAAACCAAAAAAAAAATGAATATTCACGTTTAGTCCGACTTTGTAGTATAACTCAACAAGACAAATAAACCATTATTAGATACTTATTGGGTAAGATTCACTGTAGAGAACTATGTTTGCTGAACGTGGTTGGCCGTAAAGGAAAGACATTCTTCAAATGTATAATCCTAATGATTTGGTAAAGATACTAGTTTTCAGATCGGACGAAATATTTTTCTATCAAAATTATACACTGGAAGAAACATTTTGTGTTAGAATGCTTGATTATATGCTGATTGAAAACCTAACGATAACGATTAAACTTAAATTACATTGTATGGTTTATCAGAAAAGCAGTTCAATGAACAAGATCAGGCTAGAGGTATCTTGAGAGTTTTTGAATGCATTTGAAAGCTCAATTCGCATTTAACTTAATGCACTGTGGAATTCCCTTGTTATCAGAAAGTATGGTATACCTGTGGTTAGTATATGATGCAGGTCGAAGACTTCATTATCTAACATTGACTAGTCCCTTGAGAACAGCCAGTTTCATGTTGCATAATCCCCAGTACTGACCAAATTCTTGAGACCGTTTTTCAATATGGCTATCAAGCTAAAAAGCTGACCATCGGGCTACACTTTGATGGATGTTAGTTACTTGAAGGCAGTTGGGCAGGATGCCCTCATCATCCTAGGTTTCTTACTTGTTGGCACTCGTCAGGAAGGCATATTTGCAACCCCGAGGGAGCTAATGTTCCCTTTGAGACTGCAACTCATACTATCCTATGTTTTAGTCAGTGAATCTCATAGAACACATCATTCTCCTTGAGGTTGTAAATATGCTTTGCTGACGAGTGCTAACAAGCTCCAATTTTAGAGTAATCTCATCGTGACTGAAACCTAACCTGAACTCATGAAGCCACATTATACGTCTCATAATCTTTTTACAGACTATTACAATCAGGTTTACACACCTAATAACATCAAAGCCTAGTTTACATTTATGAATGTCGTTTGGATCCAGTGTGATGGACTTAGATAGTCAGGACTCCTCTATCATGAATTATTAGTCGAGATATATATGTGAATATCAAAGATTCTCATTTTCTAGATATAAATGTAGACATTGAATGATGTATTTTTGATAGAGGGATAAACAGATTGATACAGTTTGAATTTAAATTCTCTAATTAATCTCAAATCCAGTTTACTTTATGCTTCAATATGTTATTAATGAAGTTTTCAATTTAAAGTATTCATCATTTGGTATTGGTTGATACTGAAGAAGATATAGGACAAATATCGAAATATTCCACTAAATAATTTGAAGATGGTTAAAGGTGATGCGAATCAAAAACCACTTGAGCGTTTTATATACCAATAGAATAATAGTACAGTGAACGACGATCACTTTTCTCATTTCAAAACTAAATAGTTCAGATCACTTGAAGTGGACTCGAATTTGAAACGAACTGTATAAGAATTTAGCAGCAAATCAAATTAAACGAAGAGTAGTAGTGCATTCTTGAGATTAATGGGGATTTTAATTTTGAGGTAGTATTCACCATGGGCTAACATCGGTTGGAGAACCATAGGAGCTCTGGACAGCTGTTTCGCCTTAGTATGGGCCTCCTCATCAGTGGAACCCACGATCAGGTTAGGGATCGAACTCAGGACCCTCACGTTCCACGGTGAACTCGTTAACTATTCAGTCATTGGGTGGGAGTTCAGTGGTCCACAGTTTCCAACTTCTGTCAATTCGCGATATAGTGCGACTATCACCGAAGGTTTTCAGATGACACTCATCCATCTGAAAAATACACTACCGTGTAGTACTCATTAGTGACATGCTTCCGAACGGATATCATGAAGTTCTAATAAGGAATTATGACCTACGGGGTCAACCAGTCGGAATAGAAGCGGATGGAAACTGATTGTTGCGCTATATCGCGAATTGACAGAAATTGGAAACTGTGGGCCACTGAACTCCCACCCAGTGACTGAATGGTTAACGAGTTCACCGTGAAACGTGAGGGTCCTGAGTTCGATCCCTAACCTGATCATGGTTTACACTGATGAGGGGGCCCATACCAAGACAGCTGTCCAATGTTCCCAGAATTCCAATGGTTCTCCACCAGATGTCAGTCCATGACTAATGCTACTTCGGAAGAACGGTTGTTTTGAACTTAATTTTTATGACGGATGAAAATCAGTTTAAGAACTATTGCAAACCTGGAAGCATTAGAAAGTGGCCTCGTTGTTTGCGACTACTTAGAAATACACACCAGGTTCTCCAAATGTCTAAGACTGTCATGTCTCACGAAGGACAGACCACTGTTTGGTCACTGGGTTGGAATCTAACGATTTAGCAATTCGTACTTCTATTGACTCACAATATTGTCGCAACTGCCATCTAATTGCATCGGTGAGAATCTGTTTCCCTCTCAACTTGGTTTAACTCATGAGTTGTGACTTCGCACTAAAATTTTGAGGAATCTAGCTCAAAGCAAGTCGATAATGAGCGTTGGATAGTAATTGGATCGTTGGTTTGAAGAGTCAATTCCTTTCTTACCTTGTTCTCATTAACCTTAAGTAACGCCACTGTTGTTTTTCTTTTACTACCTACAGTTTTATACTACTTAGTATTATTGAGTAGCATACTCATGTTTTCCTATAATATTACTATATTCCCAACTTTCTCTGCAAACGCATGTTGTTGATCATTGAAAATCCCTAGATATTATTATCTTTTCCAGTTCCTGGTAGTGTCAGAATCCCTTTCTCGGTTCCCTGATGTTTTGGTCTACCCTAAACATTGCTGATCTCGTGTATCAACCTGATTGGGGAAGAACTAGGCTCATCTTTTGTGTTCTCTTCTGGTTAGCTTTAGACAGCCTTGCTGTTTGTACTGTTGAAATACTCTGCATAAGGCACTTTGATAGTGATAAACCCACAGATACCTCATGACTCGAGAACCGTATTTCAGATGAATCCTGTTTTTTGGATTTTACGCGTAACTCCAGCGTTTAGCTTATTATTGGAGAATCACTTGGTTTCTTTGAAAAAATTCACACAGGGTTTTATTAAGTTTCAGGTAATTTTCATCACATTCTGACATCATTTAAGGAATCATTGCTAACGTAGGAGCACTAGATAGCTGTTTTGCCTTAGTCCGAGACTCCTTAGTAGTACGCACTTTTGATTTCATCTAGTGTATAGGAGTGAAATTGTTGCTTAACACTCTATAGTGGGAAAAATTATTAACTATAACGGTAAAATAAAACCTGATGGTAATGAAACATTTGCACAGATGTATCACGACTAGTTTATATGGTTTTCAGTTAGTTTTCCATAGTACACTTGCTGTCAAACTATTGAATAACATCTCAATAGTGAGTGGATTACTCAAACAAAATTGTTCTTTGACAAGAAGCAGAAGCTGCATGCTATGATAGAAGAATTAATAGCCTGAACACATTTATCTGATTAAGAAGGAAGACAAATTATTACCGATGATAAAAGGCGTAAAACAAATTACTTCATCAGCTTAACGTTGCAAACTTTTTTCTCAAAGAGGCTAAAACTTGAAAATTCTGATGGATGCTATCTGCTTTATGTAGATGTGAGTGATTTGCAAACCTTTTTGCAGGTAATACAAGCTCATGACATATTTGTTTCTAAGTGCATGAGAAGAAAGCGTTTTATTGTTGAGCTTTATAGTTTTTATTCCCCACCTTTGTACTGTAGGATATACTGTTAAAATTAGAGACGCATAAAGTGTGCATGAATAAGTTGAAGGATAGTCATCAGTACCATATTGCAGTTCGATCAATTCGAGCACTATTCTCATCAAAATCACCATGAAATACTGTGTCAGATAATCAGTGATGGATCTTTATTCAAACTATTGGGAATTAACACTATCATCCAAGCAAAAAGCGGTATTATATTCACAATTAGTTTCAACTAGTTACTATTCCGCTCTTCTCTGAAGAATGGAAACTAAAGCATAAAATCCATGACCTGTCATTGGTTAATTTCTTTACTAAAAGAACTTATTCAGGTCGTTCCTTGGTAGCAGTCCATCTGGAAGGCATCCAGCTAGAGCATTGAACGAAAAGGTTTTAAACTTTCAGGGCATCATAAGATACTTCAGTTCTGTATTTACTTGATATTGAAGAGTTTTCAGCGAACTCAAAGACTGCCAATTATTTCCCACTTAATGTGGTAAACACTACTTATAAGGATATACAAACTAGCAGTTTATAGCGTAGCACTGTGAAGCATAAGAGATGATAACAGCTGACCGATGAAAGTTTTAGAAGAATGAATTCAAAACATTTGAATCAAATATAGAGATCAATAACCCTTGTCACTCGAATATCGAAGAAGGAGAGTGTTTTACAATTTTGACTACACTGTAGTGTTTAATGTTTTTATCTTTAACAAACATTTTCTTATAAGGAGTCTTTGTTCCTCATATATATATATATATATATATATATATATATATATATATATATATATATATATATATATATATATATATATATATATATATATAGTTTGAGTAATACGTTTTCTTTTATTATCGTTGTTTATCATTGTTAAGACGGTTGTTCATAGTCTAATCAATCATATGGAAGAACAGATTGATATAAGAATGAAATTAGTTATTTTTCTGAAGAGAAACAAGGGATAAATATGATTTGTTATGCAGTATAATATATCCATTATACTTTTGTCAGTGACTTCTTCATCTAGTCATTCTTCTTTTCCGATTTTAAGGACTAGTTGAGTTAATTTGGAATATGCGCTTAGAAGTATACAAGTATTTTTAAATGACAGCTTAACTGCTTGACTGTTTGAAAGATTAGTTTAGTTTTTAGTGATTACTTAGGCGAGGTAATCAGCCATTGAAATGGAAAATCCTGTTTGGTAATTAGAAACTAAGGTGAACACCCTAAAAAATTTTCAACCCTTAATGGAACTACGATCTACTCCTTACTGTTGAGTTGGTTTGATATAGTTTTCTTCAAGTTCAGATGTAAAACTGAACTCTATGGGATGAACTATGCTGATTTAAATAACAAAAGCTAATAGATAAAAAGGAATGCTAGTTGGTATATATTCTAAATCAATAGAAGTTGGAAAATGCATACAATAAAGAAAACAAGTCTCGATGTGATATGTAGTTATGGGAGGATTACTAAAGAATACAAAACCGATAGTTGAAATCTCAATATTCTTGATGGATTAAGCATCAGTATGTACATATAACTGTCGAACCTGAAGAGGAAGTTATCAAGAACAGTATTCTTCGTTCATTCAAATGAGGTTGAAATGATAATAGGAGTTTTATGTGTACTTGTTAATTGCACCAGAGTAATTCTCAATATAACTTATTAACTAACCAATAAGTTGAACCATGTCAGCGTTTCACTTTGAAGCTCAGCACAATAGTCAGTGAAATGTTACAAATAAGTAGAAGAAATTAGATATTAATTATAGATTTCGACTGTTATTTTTTCTTGCAAGAAATCTTTACTAACAGAAACACAAACTGTGAAAAGAACTCAATTTAAATGCTTCTCTTCTCAACGTTATTAAAATATAGTTCCTCTTTTTCTCAAAGCCATTTGAGTGAACAAAGAATATTCTTTTAAATAACTCCTTCCTCTACTTCACGTCCTACAGTTATATGTACATATTGAGGAATTATGCGTCAACGATATTGACATTTTGCTTCTCAATTTGTTATTATTATTATACAGTTGAGGAAGTCAATTTAGCAAAGTCATATGTGAATGGTAATGACAGAATCATTTGTCACTGGAATTCAACTGATTATCTAAATGATTATACGGTGTAGGTGATACTATAAGTTGATAGTTCAATAAAACAATAGGAAGGTATTTATGACAAGTGGATGAAGTAAACTAAGAAAGATAATTTGAAGAGTAATAGCTTGATAGTTTGTTACTCATGTTGGGGGACAAAGCAGTTTAAGAGAATCTGTTGAAAAATTTCAGCTTACTGGGACGAAGGATTCGGATCTTCATGCCTTTTGGCAAGCCGTTGAGAACCCGGTACAGAATGGAAAACGAATTATTCATATCCTTTATATAGTTCATTTCAACTAAGTATGCTAATATGTAGCTAGTAGTGGTGAATACATATCTGCGCTCTCTGTATGCACTTGAAACTGAACATGCGATAATATGTACCTATGGTACACAGTTCCTCCTTTTCAATGCCCTCATAGTTTTTTCTAACCTTTTGAACCAATAATCAGCCATACTTGAGGAGTTCTTTCGTAACCAGGATGCATCTTACCAAATGTTACTCAGATTTGTTCCTTTTCCTGAATAGCGAAACGAAATCCTCACAAGTATTTCATTTCAAGATGTTTATCCATCAAATTACTTTTATTTTTCAGTCAAAAGTATTTGAATCCTGTCTATGCACAACTATTATTTGTTGATACTTGTAACTGACCTGTTATTATTCTGATTCGAGGTATTCGGTCTTTTTTTCATGTCGGTTCTTATGTGGACTCCTGGATATTGCCTGGAAATTTATTGTTATGACTTACTTAGTAGTGACTACTAGTGGAATCTATGACACGCGTCTCATCTTATTTGGGAGTCATCAAGTGGTTGCACCTACACCCCAGTGGGTGATGGTGTTCTCTCCAGTACCCTTTGTACATGAGGTGGCTCTCATGCCTCAGTGACCTTGTCGAAGATGACCTGACGTTTGAAGCGGTGCGTAAGGGGTTCGGGTTTCAGTGGGAATTCCATCACTCATTGGGTTGCAGGTGCATCTAGCTGACAAATCCCAAGTAGGACGAAACTCATGTCCTGGATTCCACTAATAACCACCACGAAGTAAATTATGCCTAATTTGTTGTTGCGCACTGGTTTTAAAGCTACATAGTTTGATTATTCTTCCGCATAAGACGATTACGATAATAAGTGTACTGCAGTAGTTGATACTCATCATAGCGACTGCTTCCAAAAGTAAGGTCTCGAATCTTTTTGAGTTATTTTGGAGAAATAGATGCCCCCATTGCTTTTGCATTAATTAATGAACAAAGCTTTACCCATTGATTTGGCAGTGTTACCACGCCTTTGCTAATTTACCCTAGACATATCAGTTACTTCTGAATGGAACAATACAACTATTCTGGCTACTTGCAAAGCCATTTAAGTAGTTGGTAGCATCCTTTAGGAAAATTTAACATCTACACATCTGTGTATACTTTTGATCTACCAACCATTAATATGTATGGAAACAGGAATGCAGTTGTGATAAAAGACCGAAGAAATCAAAAGTGGTAAACGGACTGGATAGATAAGATATAAAATTATGACACACTATAGTCAAAAGAATTACAGTTCGATTACCTGATATCGCGAACCCACTGAATCCAACAGCCAAAACAAGACAGACTAGTGCTGAAGTAATTGTTTTTGAATAGCCAACACCGATGAGGAAGACTGCTTCCATTCCAAAACCTATTTTTAAAGAATAGCAGAATTTTACTTCGCTTAAACGCAATGTATTAGTAGAGCTGAAGATGAACGTTACCACAGGAATCTACAAATGTATCCTGTTTTTAAAATACGAAATCTAATGGAATATTATGAAATTGACAGTGATATCTTTAAGTTTTAACGTGCGTTGATCAGACAGTTTATGACACTTCTGAAAAAGTTCTGTTCACTGAAGTCATTCTTTTTATGGCTCAATGGGAATATCTCTCTTTGAAAAACAGGAAAGAACCTATTGAACAGTGAATACTCCTCAGCTGCACACAGTGAAAAGTACAATGGTTATTGGGACATGCAGTTGAGGTAGCAAGTACATTAGAAGGACTGAGAGGAGGGCATCCATTAGGTTTGCTGACCACATCCAAGAGAATCTTTGCTTGAAAGAAAGTAAAATTCGAAACTTTGTAGACACAGGACATCAGGTTGGAACATTGAGTGCTTTCAAAATAGTCAACTTACAGAGAATGTCTGGATTTATGAGCTTTGCAAAAGTGGCTGCAATAAAATGTTTCCAACTTGACCTTTGCATACAGAAGGACAGTGTGGTTAGTCTCTCACTGACTTAGGTGAATATAATTGGATCTTTTTACGCTCTAATTACAAATCTCTTTGTTCATATATTCTTATCGTTTTTCTTTCCTTACATTTCTCACCTCTAAACAAATAATTTTCTCCCATATTGTATGAATTATCAATGATTCTGTTATACACCGCAAGCTTATTGATCTAATTTTGAAGGATCTTATATGTTAATAAACCAACAAACTTTCAGACCGTATCCATCTGAAGAGTATTCGTGAAAAGGATGATATCATTTTGTTTTGAAAATCTTGTCCTGTTTACTTTGTTTAGATTTATCAACGAATCTGAATTATTCAAACACTCTTCTACTATGAAGTGACTGAATGATGATCTAGGTTATTTCGTTGAGCCTGCTTTCACGAACAATGAAACGTATTACACTCAATCTCATCCATGAGAACTGGTCCCGTCATTCTGAATTAGAAAGAAACAGTGCAAATATGACACTCACTGACAATATCCTCCAGGAAGAGTGAAAAGAATACAAGAGCTATGCAGATTCCAAAGTGGACACACTAACAACAAGCTTACAAACAGTCTGAAGTCAAAATATATCGACGATACTTTACGGCATTATGGAAGTATTGGGTCATCAGTTATTACTTTTGAAAACGCGACTCCGCAGCTGCTGACGGATACACCATCGAAAACCAGTTTGTTTACTGAAGTATTTCTTCTCTTAGGAGAGTGGTTAGGATTTAAGTATGCCACCTAAAGCTTCAACATTTCGGCTAAATAATGAGTAGTCTCTACTTATCTCTGACTTACTCATACTTATATCTAACATAACCACTACTCCTGTGTAACTTTTCTAACTGCATATGTTATTTCATCTCTTTCATTGTAATTACACAAACCTTGAAGGCTAATCATATTTTTATGTTGAAAAAAGGTGAGTATTCTAACAGTGGTCATGTGAAAAGCTACTATTCCTCAAACATAATAAATCGATTAGTATATTAAGAGTAGTTATATCCTTTATCAAGTTAAGTTCATGGTTCACCTGTAAGACTGTTCATCTTCAGTCAGCTGTTTTTCCAGTACACTGTGACACTGATATTGTTAAGTTAATGTCACGGCTTTAACCTAAAACTACGACAGTTGGTTAAAACTTCAAGAAAGCACAACCACAGAAACTGTTTGCCAATTACAAATCGATATATTCCAAAAACAATATTCAAGAACGGCGTGTATCTAAGGTGGAGTGAGGGTTCCTGGTCTATCCTCACAATTAGCTATGAATACAGTTTCTTCCCATTTATCAGGACTTATGACTGAACTGTCGTTCAATTTCTATAGTTATTTCGAAGTTGCAAGAGTCTGTCTGCAAATTTCATATCAATCTAGAGCAAATCAGTGAATTGTCCCATTGGTTTAAAATCCGCCCCAATTGTCGTATTCGCAGAACCACAAATGCATGCCAATAAAATTTAATTCTCTCAGTGACACCGCTAAAAATGAATTTGAAATATACAGTTAAGTGCATTCCTGATTTGCATTATTCCTGATTGTTCAGTAGATATTTCTAAGAGACGTAAAAAAGGATATTAAGGATATATGTTGACTAGAAAGGGAATTCGGGATTCGCTGTCGTCCTGGTCAGGATTCGTCAGCATGATATACTTGCATGCCAGTGAGTGATGGTGTTCCCATTGAGACCACAACCCACTACGTATCACTTCAAACTTCGGTAGGTTATCTGTTAGGTTAATGAGTCATCTTGTCTATTGGATAGTTAAAGCAAATCAACTAATTACCTTCAGTAGTACTTTAAATGAAAATCTCATGAGATAAATACAGAAAAACTTGAGTTCTTTAAGAAAACTCCCATGGTTTTCACATGCCTCTTTCTGTCAATCATACCAAAAGGTGAAGTAATAAAAGAAAGTCGAGCATTATCAGCATTTGTGTCACAGAAATAGCTGGTCCCACCTGTCTTTTTGTTCTGTGTTCACCCATCATAGGGGACATAGAGGCAGTTTCGTATACGAATAATTCCGACCAGTCATTATGAGCATTTTTTATTTAGTTTCTTTCTGTTTTATTGACTGACATTAACTGGCTAGTAGGAGACTTTTGGCGCGATGTTAAGTGTTTTTGATATCGGATGTTAGTAGATAGTTGCTTGGATACCGTGAACCAATATTTGGGCGTATCAACATGCATTAGCTAATGAAAGTGATGTTTCTTCATTGGTGTGAATCCACATCACTCAATGATGCGGTTAGATACCTTACTTCCAAACTGTCGTATTCCATGTTAAATGACTTTCTCTCTGTTTACTGGCTCCTTTCACTCTTCATACTCTTTGTTTATTCACTTCTCAAGGTGGTGTGTAGCCATTGTTATTCTGTAAGTAGTTTGTGAACAATCTCTTTATGCATGGAATTCGTTTCTTCATCTTTTTCTGAGTCATTTAGAGGAAGGAGATGGAAATAAACTTAGGGCTAATGAATCTAAATGTTCATCTGAGTATCTGAGGTATCATCGGTCCACAGATTGATCTTAGTTTACAGTAATGAACAATGAGGTTGAAATGAAAACTTGGGTAACAGTAAAGATATATATCATCGGTCTCCAGAAAAAAGTGTAGTATGTGCATTCAAGGTTTGATCCATTTTAAGTTTATTGGTATTGTAAATATGGCGGCTTCACCTGATGCTTTTGAAATAGGTGTTTTTTTTAGAAACCAATGGAAAGCGAATGATAGTAAAAGTTTCTGTATGATACCTTTGTATTTTTCGAATCGAAAATCGCAGATTTTGCAACTTATACTAAAGTGTTGGTTTGTAATTTCGAAATAAAATAGTAGAAGTCGTCTCACTAGAACGTTCTGAATTGCGTCAACTCACACTTTCACAAATTTTCCCGATGGTTAGCAAAACGTTTACAGCACTCTCAAGCAGAATAGAATTTTCACTGTCTGAAAGATCCTACCGATCACATAAGTGTTGAGGAATAATACCTCTGAGAAATTCATGGTTTCTTTTAATGTATGATTTTCATTTGAAAGGATATCGCTGAAGGAAACCATAGATACTACTTTTCAGTATCTAATCCTACTTCTACTTTAAAAGTATGAATTCAAACAGCTTTTACTGAACGATTTCATTTCTATGATGTCTGATGCAGTTGAATGCACTGAGTTGACATGTGTAGTCTTTTTAACATGGTCCTTGCTGATATCTTCAGGGGGAGTTTCAAATAGACAAGACTAGGATATGCAGTCGTCTAGACAGCACTCTACGTGAGGTGCATTGGTGATACATTTATTGTCTGCCATTATGATTAACAATCTCCTGATTTAATGAGTCTTTTCCTTGGAGCACAACCCAAAATAGCGTCTACAACTCCACTTCTTAGATCGTGGCATACAGCATCATACAGATGGGAAGAATAACCGTTACATTTATCAGAAAAACGCATAGAGTGAGCTTTATTTAAACTTAAACAGCTTTTAATCCATCAATTGCAGAAAATGTTTGGTGAGAGCACTTCTGTCCACTAAATGGTTCGAACTTGGGCCACTCGATGATAAACTCAGAGAACTGATCACTAAGTTATCCAGTTTCTAACAGTACACATAAACCGTGCTTTGAAGATAAAACTGAGGAGAAATTGACCATTGTCAAACGCTACTTGCATAAAAATGGTTACTCATAGAACTTTGTTTATCTACATGATAGAATAGAAACCAGAATAAGGAACTGGAACACATCAAAAAGACACAACTTCTCAATAACTACCCTACGGAATTTATTGAAAAGTGTATGAGGACTGATAAGAGAAGTTGTGATAATGTTAGTTATAACTGCAACATTGCTGAGAGGGAATTTAATTTCTCTGTAGTGTTATCACATAAGGAAGGTACATCGGAAATCGTACGGGGTTTCTTTGTAATGCTGTTTTTATCATGACTTTGGAGCCCGTCTGAGTGAGGAACTTTGTTCTCAAGCAGTCAAGTAGAGGTAATTAAGAAAAATGATCCAATTCATCACATGGCTTGGGTCAATGCAGCCGATCTGATTCATTCAGAATAGCAGATCTCAAAAATTTAGTGAAATATACAATAGTGGACCCTACCATCGCTCCGCATGTACTGATCCATATTTACACTATGTAGCGGGTGGGATAGGGTGACAATTCTGAGATCCAGTATAGCTGGGTTGACGAAGAGGTTGGTCACAGAGTCTTTTTTCATTACGTCAACATCTAGCATATGTAATAGGAGAGATTCGTCGCATGTCTCAGATATCTGAAAAATTTTATTACCATTAAAAAAAATAGTGAGGAACTACTGGACTACATAAAGGAAGCTTGGAAGTCGTATGATAAATTTGATATGAATATAAGCAATAAATTCTGCTCTAAATGTCATCCTGCAAGCAACACTGTATCACTATGTGTTATATCAAATGAACAATGTAATTTGGAATTATCCTTCACTACAATTCCGAAGTCTTACGCTTACATTAGTGGGGCGTTCACGCGGTTTTGTTTGCTGTAGACTAGTTACGGCATCAGACCAGGTAAGAATACAACATAAATTCACGTTTAGGCAACTGTTAAGTCAGTGAGGTCTACGGTCACGAGATCATAAATCATCACAATTTGGTTCTATGTCTGCTGATTCTTATGAACAGACAAGGATCAAAGGACAGTTACCGTCAGCTATCATTCTTCTCAGCTCAGTACATTCGAACTATGAAAGTACTAACCAACAGTCTTTCTATCTAGTATGGATTCTTAACATATGTGAATCATAATTGATAGCTACAAAGGCCAGATCTTTGCATTTGAATTTTGTAGCAAAATCAAACAGTTTTCTGCATATCTCATCCTTCAATGTGTTTGGATTTCAGTCAGTAGGGTTCAAAAACCAAAAAAATTTTTTAAAAACAGTTGTACATCCGAACTTTTTTCAAGCTATTGATATTCCATCCAACAGTAGAATGTACAGACTACTGTCAACTAATATGTAGGATGCCATGGAAGGAGTTTATTTCACATACTCATTCTTGAAGGAATTCGTAAATCAGAGAGATCTGCGTTTATCATCCATTAATATGAATAACGTGAAGATGAATAACAAATTCTGAATGAGCATCTTACTAATGACCACCATGGACACAAAATGTGGCTGGATTTCATCATTTAACTCAGTATCATTGATAAGTCACCAATTTCATGTTGCCTTGTCCTGAGTACTGACTGGATTCAACCTATGATTTTGCAATGTGACCATCAAACTAAAAGGCTCACCGTTGTGGTGCATTTTGATAAATGTTAATTGGATGAAGGCAGTCAGTAGAAAGCCCTGCTAGACCTAGGTTTCGCACCTCTTGGCACTCGTCAGTAAAGTGTATCAGAAAACTTAAGAGGGGGTGATGTTCCCTATGAGATCAGAACCCACATTGAAAATGCTGTAATCTGTGCTATTACCACAGAGCTGCAGTACCCGACCTTTGGTAATACTAGACTAGACACATTCATTGTTCAATGGCGAGTATCTGACGCTACGCTGTCTGCAACTGAGTACTTAATGACAAATTGGTCGGTTGTGGCTAGCAAACGAACCAAGGACGCGCGTTTCATCCTATTTGGGACTCGCTGGTCAGCTGGGTGTATTTGCACCCCAGTGATGTTGTTCCCACTGGGACTCGAACCCCACACCTGTCTCTCCGAGCGCCAAGGCGTTATCCCCTATGCCACGGAGGAACGCTAGCTGCTTCTTGTACAACGGGCAGTAGGTAGTATGTTAGCCAGTACATCCAGCTGATGAGTCCCAAATAGGACGAAACGCGCCTCCTGGATTCTTCTGCTAGCCACAACCAACCAATTTATCATAATTAACATTGAGGCAATACCGAGGTATCTGCATACGAGCTCATATTCCAATAGAGGTGGAACAATTCGATTCAACAAAACAACGGAGAATAACGAGTATGTCAATAAATAGTAATAAGTACTGAGTGGTTTATAAAATCAGTCAAAGCTCACAGCGAATGTGAATCACCTAGATTAGTGAACACTGCAAAATCCGCAACTGAGTTCAGTAAGCACTTCAGGCGAAACAACAAGAAAATGTTTACTTTCCACTGACCTCGGCAATTTTAATGTCTTTAACTTTTAACTAAAAATTTTCATATTCCCTGACCCTCTGTTTTGCATCTCTTCATCTTATCTTTCGATGTTACTTAAAACAGACTTTGAGTTTTGTTAACCTTATTGCCCAACATAAATGAAAATCTCTTGATTTTTTTTACTCTGCTTACGTAACCATTATGTGATATTTTTAACGATTCCAGAATAACATTATGTACAACCCTGTCGCATTTCTTTTTTAAAATATTCTCTGGAATGTTCATTCTATCGCTGTATAAATAGTTATTCTTTGAGCAGTCTTAACAACAGCAAGTTTTATCAGCTTCGGTCAACTTAATTCTTTGTTTTTCTCTGTCTGCATCGAAACATTCCTGTCGACTTATGAAAGTACGTTGGATACCTTGTTTTTTCATTACAAACATTATATTCTACAGGTTCAACAGCAGCTAAGGAGAATTCGCAAAATACATAAAATCTAATTCTCTTACCACTAATATTCTTACATTGTTCAAGTTCATGAAATGTGGGAAAAGTATATCGAAAAGAAAGGTTATTGTCATTCATCGTTTCATTACTGTAGTTAGTAATAGATAGTTAGCAGGGATGGTCAGACATTCATTAGTTATTTACTGATGGGTAGTGGTCAGTAGTAGCAACCAGGACACACATTTCATCTTGAGACTCGTAAACTGGATGTACCTGCCTCCAATCAAAGACAGAGATTTACAAGCCATGACATAAAAAACTCATTAGCTAGGTTTTTTCTTCCATATTAGGAAAATCTAAACTTTTTTACATACTAACCGCTATGCTTCACCAATATTGTGAGAGACGTTATTCATAGGGGTTGCATGCTGCGGTTCACTACCTCAACTTGACCTTCAACCAAGTGACTGGATATCATACATTGTCCGTTCAATCTTCTGATGAATGAAATGAAGTACTTAGCTGAAAATCTCACATAGAATAGGCATTATCAGCAGACTGATATCAGTCGATAGGTAAATACATAAAATCCCCCGAGAAATTTGCTTAACAAGAGCTCGAATAGAAAATGTTTTTCTCTCAGCTTAAGATTAGAAAAACGAAGATGCTTAGAAGAATATTCTTGAGAAGACATTTACTTACTGTTGACTGCTATAAAGGATATTCAGTATTATTAGGTGATTGATACTACATTACACAATGAAACTTCTTTAGTTTGATGAAATCGACGTGAACCATTTAGAGCGCCAATAGCGTAAGAATAAAATTTAAATACTAGGAGCAGAGTGTAATTCCATATTGAATATGTTTTTATTTGACATAGTACACAGTAAAACGGTATTACTTACTAGACGACGTTTACAGCATAAGAATTGTTTTTCATAACCGAAGCAGGTTATTGACTTTTTTGTTTGACATTTCTCAGCTGTCTTCCATTCTTTGATATTGATGAGTGTACCATTTGTGAAATAGTCAGGATAAGCATTGAGTTGTACCCGTTGTATGTATTTGGTATTGGTTAGATGAAAGGAAATTCAGCGATCAACCTGTTCCTCCACACCACGAGATTAATTCTAGGACTGTTAGTACGTCCCACCCTATCGTGTGATTTTGTGTCAGTTCACACATAGCTGAGGCTGGGGTTTTCTTTGGGTTATTTATCTTGTCTGAGTATATCGTTCTAGATCTAGTTAAGTTCTCATGTTGCATTAGCTTGGCTGTCCCCTGTAGGATAACCGACTTGATGTTTTCTAGCCCTACATGAACAGCCAATTCAATTGATCATTTTGCAATGTGACCACCAGGCTAAGAGGCTCACCATCGCAATACACCGGGACATATATTAATTGGATGGAGGTGATCGAGAGGAAGTGCTGGTCAATCTATGCTTCATGCATCTTGGTGATCGTCAGCAAGGCGTATCTGCTGATGTCCTGCTAGAGCTGGTGATTGACCACGTCCAGCTGGTTTAAACTTCACACTTGGACTGACAATCATTTTACAGTATTTGATCGATCAAATTACTTTATGTCAACAGGTAAAGGAATCGTCAAGTCTAAAAGCCTATCTGTTAGTGAATTTATAGAGTGACAGGTAGCTAGGCAGATGAAAATCGAAATATCACTATATAAGCTGCTGACGTAACATATATTTTGCAGAGCAGACTTATTTATGCAAGCGTTTGTAGTCTAAATATTTCCACAAGTCAGTTAGTTAATTTGTTTCCTCACTTTATTACTCACCTCCACAGTTGAATATTTTCCTTACAGCTGTTGTTGAGAGTGTATTTTTTCGTAATTTATCCGCCAGCTGACCACCAATAGGAACAATAACAGCCATAACTAAATGTGGTAATGCTGATAGAAATCCAGTCTGCAAGAAGAGCAAAGAAAATTGAGCAGAGTTTCATTGAACGTAAAAATCACATTTAGTATGCCAGACTGTCAAGTCTCAGAATAAGCGAATTTATTGAAATTGGCAAAACCATCATCAGGGGGTTACATTCAAAATTCGGGTAGTTTCATGATTAACCCTTAGATATACAGACTGTCCGTTTCTTTAAGATCTCTGCTACCGTATCACCTATGAAATCAATCCTCATAAAAAGACTCTATTTTGTAACTGTGAGTATTTTCTCGGTTTTCTGCTTGGATTTCAGTTCTATAGTGATGATATAAGGTGGAACGGAAATCTAGGCGGTGGCAGGTCATCGGCCTGATGTTCTACCAGCTAAACTATGAAACCGGGTTATCCAGTAGATCTTAGTTCCACTTCGACCACCTATATATATATCGGCAAAACTGAAAGATGTAGCTTACTTGTGCAATACATAGCGAACAATCAAGTTATACACTCACCTGACACGCATATTTATATAAAATCTAACCAAGGGTAAAAACAATCGATATTTATTCGGTTACTGGAGAGTAACTTATTTTATGCTGTCTGGTTCTGAACGCTGACTGTATTCTGTTGATCACCTGATGATTTGGTCATCAAGCTGGGAGACTTACCATTGTGATGCGCTTTTAGTTATCTTTGATGATTGTTGCAGAAAACCGGCAGGAGACCGTAGATCTGGGTTTCGAACCCAATGGCACTCATTAGCAAGATGCGTCAAGAGTTTCCTGCTGACTTTTTGATATATATATATATATATATATATATATATATATATATATATATATATGTTCTAAGCAAATCTATGAAACTTATTGTTTGAAGGCACTACCAAGATTTCTTTTAATTTGTGCGTTTTGGTTATGAGGCATTTTACTGTTAAATAGGTTGTCATACTCAACAGGGCTGCTCTACACATAAGGCTTAACATTATACTTTTATTTATATTTGAGGCGTTATGATTCGCTTACCTCTGCCAGATTGTAGCCAAAAACTTCACGAAAATATTTCGGTGATTTAGTGATCAATAGGTAGAATGACCAACTTCTAGCGAAATTCGCCACAATTATGGCGTATACAGGAAGTGATGTAAAGAATTTTCCCCAAGGAATAGGTATTTTCTGTAAACAAAGACAAATAAATGAATAATTAATTAGTTAATGACATTCTAAACTTGTGTTTTGATTGGTTATCTTTTTTTACTAGGTATATAAAGCGAAGCGTTGTTTCACTGACTATTCAATAAACATAGTAGTAATCGAAAGAGAGAGCCTGATGTATTTTGCAAAAGTGGTCGTTTAGTGATGCTAGTGGTCTGTGAGAAACAGTTTTACCTCGCTGTCAGCACATAAACCAATCAACTAAGAGTAACTCATGGCATGTTGAAGTATCAAGTGAAGGTTTTTGAGATTTAAAGCATCTTTTTCTATAATAAAGGGCTAAAGGTAATAATAATAGCTTACCAGATTCCATATGGTTTTAGTCGTAGCAACGAATGCAAAAGATCTTTAGTTTGGAAATGTAGATATGTAGTAGATATACTTGGCTAATAGGCTGAAACATTTACCATGTTTGTATACAACGTTAAGTTTCACACTGGTGAGTGTATCTATCGTTTCAGTAACTCAAAAGTTAACTAACAATGAACAGAAAAGATATCTAAGACTTGGAAATGGCAACATTGAAGTTCAATGTAAAGCATCTAAATGTTTGAAATAATAGAAGATTTACTTGCCTGAACTTTAGCATCAATGAGCCTAGGTGTACAATAAACCAACCAGCCACAAAGTTGTACATCCCTCTGAGCAAACAAGGTTTACGAAATCAACCAATCAGAATCAGCATATGTCCACACACTCACCAAGCGACCAGTCAGATTGCAATCAGTAGCACGTTAAGAATATCTATGCATAACCAGTTACTTGACCTCTTTGGAAAGGTATGATGCTCTGCAGATTATACATAGCATGAAAATGAAACGTTTGCCAACCCTAGCTCAGAGAGCTCCTAACTCTGAACACGCACACCTACATGTAATCACAACAACAACCGGATCTCTTTTAAGTAATACTTTTTTCTTATATACTAATAATAATTGCCAGTAATATTCAGACTTACGCTTTCATTTATAGTCGGTGACTCCCCGATTGAAGACTCAATATATTTACGTTCAGCTTCTGATATCGTTGGATGTAGTGAGGGTCGTTCGTGTGTTACATTCCACCACCAAAAGAACCACATTATACCAATGATGCCTGATGTATAATTGAATCATAAGATATGCTTTTAGGAATTATTAGTTTAATTATTCATTAGACGACAGTAATAATAATAATAAAGGATGAAAAATCACCTAGTTGTGATGGCAATAGGCATACAGCAACTTATACGACAGAGGGACTTAAAAATGAGGACTCGAACCTTCAACAATAAATTTCGTCCTCCCTGTAAATTGGAAGAATATATGAAAACCTTATGAACTCCTGGAAGTCTGTATTTTTGTGTATAGGTCTGCTGAAGAGGTGCTTGGGTAATACTCCTATGAACTCTGAATGATACTAAACAATTGCATGGAACCAAATATTTATTCTTACAATATATATATATATATATATATATATATATATATATATATTCTTTTAGTTGGTTAACGTAACTGAATGGAATTAGTTGGGAAACCATTGAAAATCTGAAAGCACCAGGCAGCTGTTTTGTCCTAGTACAGGATTCCTCAGCGCATATTCATGACCTCACTGCCAACCTGTTGGCCACAGAACCTGAAGATTATGGGTTAGATGAGTGATAGGGTCATGGGTCCCCACAGCTGATCAGTCGCATACGAAGATGAAACACCTGGCCTGTGCTCCCAGTTTTTCAATGATTCTTCATTCGATGTCAGTCTTTGATCAATATCAACTTCAAATATATATATATATATATATATATATATATATATATATATATATATATATATATGAACAGGACTGATTTTAAAAGCCATCCTGACAATTGCAAAGTAACCAATCAGGTTTTGGTATTCCATGCAGTAAGTTAGTTTTTCACAAAATAAGGAAACGTAATTGGTTATCTCAACAGTTGGTAAGGTGACCTTTAAAGTCACTCTATAAACGCAGCGAGAGAGACTACTGTAAAAGTACATGTAATTGGTGATTATATTTTATTCATGTGTTCATAGCAGAAATTCAAGCATAAATGGAGACATGAAAATATAATACTCTTATTTTTTATGTGATATACGGCGATGTAATTGCTTGCTCACTGACAATGTAGGCGGTTCCAAATTGCTTATGGAGACACATCAGTAGTGCTGGAAGTATCTCTTTTTAGCTAGTTATTAAGTTGTCAATGTTGACAGGACACAATAAAGGTGACTCAGAACTTTGAGTTTGTGATATTGTATGCAGACATCGTAACTGTTGTAGTCAAGATGGTTCCTTTGAAATCCAGACTCAGCTGTTGAAACTTACTTGTAGAAGTGTTTATGATAAATACTAATGTGGCTTATAAGTTAACTCAAAGTATCTTTAAACCATTTCTGATTTTAGGTCAATGAATCACTTCTGGACATTCTTATTCATGCTCTAGACACAGAGTAGTCAAAGTAACTGAAGATCAATCAATACCTCCATATTAAAACATTTAGTTGACAGCAGACACAGTTCTAGATGATTTATTTGCACTAGTCTACATAGTGCAACGTAATCTTCCAAAGAGTGTGAGGGAATGCTTACTTTGCATTACTGAACCTCTTGCAATATAACAATGAAAGCCGGAACTGTGTATCCAGAAACGACTCTGAAATTGTCTGGCTTTATTCCCATGTTATTCAGAAATTTCCCGGTAATTAAGCCTAACTAACCTTTTACTTGTCATACAGTTATTATGCAAGTGATTTTCATTTCGCTTGGAAATTACAACTATTTACTCACTTTGTTACCTTTTCGTTTCTTCTTGATTACAACTGTTATTTACTTACTTTGCCAAATACTTTCATTTTTCTTGTATAATTTCCGTTCCTATATTGTTTTCATGGCCAGAAACTACAATCAGTTGCTGGTTAACAAATAATGAAATTTTTTGCACTCTAAGGTTATTTAAATGCCATTATACAGCTGTAGAGGATGATCTGGCTGAAAACAAATTGGTTCACTGAAATCTTCATTCTTTTATAAATCTCATTTTAGGAACTCTACTGCTTATATTGTTACAGCTGGATGTACCGACTAGCCACTATCCAACATAACTCAAAAATTGAAACGATAAGCAATAGTAGGATATCAGTGTAGGTGCACATATGCCAACAGAGACCGATTAATTCGGTCCATTCAACGTCAGGATAATGCAAGCGTCAACATGAAAGCGATACCCGCTGGTGGCCGAGGGAATAACCCTCTAATATTTGAAGGAATCTACCTCGGATTCGAGTCGATGGGGACAACATCACTCACTTAGAGGCAGGCACATATAGCTAACCAGTTTCAAACAGGACCAAACGCGCGTCCTTTAGAGTCTACTGTTGACTACCATCCATTATTACTCTACTGTTTATTTTTTACCAATAGTATCTATGAGGTGTAGTTAGCAAACTTTGAACCGATCATTTATTTTTCTATCGTCAAAGCACTTTATACGAGGATATAAACGTATCTGAGTTACTCTGTATGTGAGAATTGGTGCGGCTGATATTAAGGAAACTTCTGAAACAAATCTGCCCTGAGATTGATTGTCAGGCAAAAAGGGTATCTAGTTTTTTTAAAAACTCAACACCAAACTGTCTGAGACATTTATGGATATAATGATCAGTCCAAATCGATCACGGAATCGTGATCAGTATAGCTGGCATCCTGACATATGAGCTCAGAAATGAATAGAGTCTATTGAGTAAGTTTGTAATGTAGCACTGTGCTGTACTATTATTCTAAATGTTGTCTCATTGTATACCCGATACATAAACTTCAGCTGACGCGCGCTAAGAACTTGATAACTATATCGACTGTCATTAAATAAGCGATCAGTGTACACAGCCCAGGCGAATAAGATCTTAGTCATGCCCTGAACAGCAAAACCTCTGACGTTGTCTCTGAGTAACATATATCCAAATCAACGACATGGGTATGAATCTCAGTGTCAGGACTTTTTATCAAACAGATGTTTGAGCTAAAGGTTTTCTTCAAAATTCATAGACATTAGATCCAACGATCTACATAAACTAAATGAAAGAAGCTGCTCATACTATTTATTAGACTGCATTGACACTGATTTTATTAGTGAAAGAAATAGGGGGACTTTAAAGGCCGTCCTAACAGCTGATGAAACAGCCAATCACATTTCTCTGTCGTATAAAAAGTTGTCCTCTCAGCCAAAATACAGAAACTTGATTGATTATTTTGGTAGCTTTTAGGGTGGTCTTTTAAGTCACCCAAGAAATAAAGGCGATTTCAACGATCACCCTGGCAACTGCTGTGATAACCAATCGAGTTTCGAGTTTCCGGCTAGAAAGGCAGCTTGTCATGACATATGGCAGCCTAACTGGTTATCTCAGCAATTACTAGGGTGACGTGCAAAGTTGTTCAAGGAATAAAGTTAATCACTTTTCTTTTCTCATACACAACCAAACCTTCCGATTGCCTGAGTAGCTTTAAAGACCACTCTAGCAACTGCTAAATTAACCAATCCGGTTTCTGTATTCCGACTGCGAAGGTAAGTTTTCATAAAGTAAAAAGACATATTTAGCTATCTCGAGTGTCTTTAAAGGTCACCCTGACAACACAGTAGATAACCACTTACGCCTCTTTGTTTTATCAAAAAATAATCTAGCCGAAATGCCAAAATCAGACTGGTGACTTTAAGAGTTGCTAGGATGGACTTGAAAGTCATTCTTTATATCAGAAGTTGTCAGGGTGGCCTTAAAGACCGCCATAGTAACAACTGAAATAACCAATCAGCTTTAGTTATTTCGATTGTCGACCTCTAATTATCTACTTCAGCAGTTGTTAGGGTAGTCTTTTAAGGTAGTCTTGATCTCACTCAGATTGTTTTTCCACTTCATGAAAATAATAAAATAGGCTTAGTGAAACGCCTCAACTTGGCATGAAAATAAGTCAGTGTAACTCTAGAGTTCATCTTTATTCAGCTGCACAGACGTCATACACGTGTTCGTTTGTTTACAGATATGTGCATCAGTCTTTTCTTTGTGCCTGCAGCTTGTCTGTTGCATTCAGCTAAATTTTATTTTCTTTGGTCATTTGTATTTTATAAGTCGTTAAGGAAACAAAATCGATCTTCGGAGTATAGTGAAAGAAATACGTTATTATACTCGAATATAAAAACATTTCAGTGGACTAACAGTCATTAGAAAAACGAACCTTCTATACGGAAGTGTGCGTTCTGAAAGAAAAAGGAAGTGAGAGATTTTTTTCTTTTCAAACATCACATATGCAGTCGTATGCAAGATATAACACACAGTTCTTTATCTGGAAGCAATTAGAAATAAGATAATTACTGTTTGGTGATAAAACTTGAAGGAGGTTATGTGTACCTTCAGCACGTTTCCTCAGCAATTTCAGTCCTTTGGAGGTTGACTTAGTGACTCAAAGTGGTCAGTACAAGATATGTTTATATATACTTATTAGTTTCACAGAATGCAACTGTCTTAATAACTTTTACAGTCGGTGGCGACGAATCTTATCTTCCACACGAGAGTTGACTGTCGTAATTCACTAGAGAAAGATACTACTAAGGAACAACTTGAGTAGTCAGAAACCACCCAAGCTGACCTGCAGTATTTCTCCAGGCAGATTGGAGTAATTTCAACACCGGACGGCCGTTTCGCTTGTTAGGGGCCCGAGCAAATTAAGTTCATAGTGTCACCAAATTAGTTCAAGTCATCTGAATCTTACTAGCTGACTCGTATGGACCGGTATACCACATAAAATAGGATGATCAATTTGCAAAAGATTTACAAATTGTACTGTCCACGTTGGCATTTCTCACAGTTGAGTAGTTTTTCGACTGCACAACTATGGTGTCAACATGATTTCCGCTGCCAACCACTCAGCTGAGATCGCAAGGTGTGACCTCTGACACAAAAGTGTCATGAACTAGCGAAAATGGTTTCTTACTGCTCAAATTGTTCCGTAGTGGCTTCGGCTTTTGAATTAACGGCTGATTGGTACGAACCTCAGTGGCAGCAACATCACTTACTGGTAGGCAAGCTGACATGATCTTAAGGAGACAGAACACGTGTCCTGGATTCCAATACTAGCAATTGCCCATCATTAGGATCAAACACTTAAATAGCTATCCAGTTTCTCTATTTGACTTCATAAAATGACACCCAGAAATGTTTTGAAGTGTTACGTGACCTGAAACTGCTTATCTATTTGACATGTACCTAAAGTCACCAAAACCCTAATTATTATTCACTGGTACCATCTGGAAGCTCTTCAGGATACCAGGAAGCAGCTTGTTTAAACCTTACAGAAACAGCTTCGCCAAACTGCCGTATGCATAATGTCAGCTGTGTATAGCCGGGAAATCAAGAAAGAAATATGTTATACAATTATGCAGTTAGTTTACCATAGAAATAAAAAGGCGATTGCCAACCCATTTGTTGAGCTAAGAGACCAGACAATGACAATCCCAGAACGGCGCCCGCATACGAGCCTATTTCAGAAAAACATGGAAAAAGGAGAAAAATATTGAAAGGATGTTGGTCACGAAAAAATTCTAATAAATCAAGAGTAGTTTTCCAACATAATTATTGAGAAAAATCTTCTTATAGCACCTTAGAGGGTGTAAACCGGTCAGAGGGGATCACATCTGACTCTCACACACTAGCTAACACTTCACTTAATCTGACCAATAATCCCTTACCACCTTCCTCAAATACCTTTAATACTAGTCCTTCTGGTCCTGCTACTCTTCCTGGCTCCAGATCATATACAACCTCTTCAACTTCGGCAAGGTTTGGAGAGCCCATCCTAATGTAACATTAGATATCCATCTGGGTGGCGGGAAACGGTGTAGTAGGTGGAGTTTAACTGAACTGTCCATTGAGTTGCTCCCTAACTAGTGAATTACAGACTCAACCTTCTCCCTCTATAGTCTCACTAACCACTGACGACTTTGCCGTAGTAATTCTAAATAGGTGTCCACTATTACCAGTCGTTCAAACCTTTTCCATCCACATGACCCTACTGTCCACTACTGTTCGTGGTCATTTGGCAGACTTCTTTTCAGTCCACATTTGAGTTGCTTCTGATCCTCGTTGTGGTTTGAGCACTTTTGATGATGATCGTACCTTACCAAGAAATTGGCAGAAGTTGAAGTGAGAAAGCAGCTGTATTCCAAACTACTAGCTTAATGGTAACATGCTTGCTACGAGATCTGAAAGTCGCCTATTCGATAAAATGCGAAGTCATGAGCGTGCTTTGTTGAATATTAAGATGAAACAACCATCTACTACTTGCATTTCGCAACAATTCTGTGGTCAGTGTTAATGCACAATCAATACTTTAGGATATTTACCAAAGTATATTGTGACAGTGAACCTTTAAGCTTGGTGGTCATATTGCAAAATGACCGATAGAATTCGGTCACCTCTCAGGTTTGAAGAACTTGAAACTGACTGTTCTCCAATTCACGTATCTAATCCAGTCATACACGAGGTAAACTGAAGCCCAAGTAGCTTAGCGGTAACTTCGCTGGCTGCAACACTGAGTGACGATGGTTTGAGTCCCAGAGGGGATATCAGTTCCATTGAGGTTGTAATAAGCCTTGCTGACGAGTGCCAACAAGCACGAAACCAAGGTCGACAAAGGGTTCCAGCTGAGTGACTCCAAAAAACTAACTAATAGTGTGTTTCAGCCTCAGTAAAAACAACACTTACTGGGGTGTGGGTAAACCCAGCTGACGAGTCCTAAATGGGGAGAAATGCGCATCCTGGATTCCTCTGCTAGTCACCAAGATCTAAATAGAGTTCCATTTGAAATAAAAGTAAGTTATTTTTGTGTCACAAAACGAAAACTATCAACCTTCAGAAAGTTACCCAGAATTTATTTCCTTGGTTTAAGATTGGCGCTTTAAAATAATACACTAAGATTTAGGCAAAATTAAAATTTAACGTCAGAAGAGTAATTTATACCAAGAGAATGACTTGAGCATGAGTAACAGGTCAATTCAACTGACTTGGAAACTCTGTGCTGATTCACGAACCGCACAGACGCTTCTACTGTGACGCATGAACAGAATTTCTAGCTTCAGAATAGAGAAGACCATTCTCGAAGTTCTGTTAATAAAACTAGCTATCTGACTGAGATAAGTTAACGTTTAGCATGCTAGTGCACTGGTGCAGATTGTCATTTTTTTATTCAGACGCTTCATGAAACAAAGAAGGTTTCAAAATGAGGAAATTAATGAAATAAAATAACATGACTGAAGTAGGCCGTTGTGAGGACGAAGTTCTCATTTATGCATTTCAAATTTCTAAATGTGTAAATAACATTGAGACATTGAATAGCTTGGGAACATTTAAATGTGTTATTACTGATTAAATCAGGGAATAAGAATAACCGCAGAACAATTAAAACCTCTTGATCAGAGGAGGAGTTTTTGAAACTGAGTAATTAACTGATTTAACTATCTGTTCAGAAACAAATAACAAGCGATTTTAGAACTGTCAGCCAAATGTTCAATTTGATAACTAGGTTGGATAATTCGACATCATTTCACAACACATTTAATATTTGGCACTTGAGAGGCAGTTGTCAGACTTTTCTGGATCTAGTTTCTGCTTCCATTGCTATTCATGAACGTGGAGTATCTGTCTCTCAGCAAAATTAGTACTGTTTCAAGGATTCAAGTGACAACCACGTGGTGCTGCAACCACCGACGCTATAATTCCACCTTAAAAACCTATGAAATTGGTTTTCAGTAAGTTCGCTTTGAAATTTATCTCTGTAACAACAATTTAGTTAGATTTACGCTTAGCAAAAGATGAAAGATGTCTGATATGTGTTAAAGTGAAAAGAAGGCAAATCAGTGAAGAAAATTACATCGTCGACGAATTCATTTACCAAAGCTGTACAATATTTAAACCGAAGCTTTATGAACAAAAGAAGAAGATTTACCCTCTCTTTCCTTACCACAACCGTATTAATAATGCACTGTTGCGTAATTCCTTTCTGTCTTTAGAATGAAGTTTTTTCTACTCTTTATCACTATGGTAATCACGTAACGCCATTGAATATTAGTAGGCTGTTAATTACTTCCAGTACAGCTTTGGTAAATGACAAAATCGAAACGAAAGTTTTCTTCGTTGACTGGCTATTTCTACTCAAGCACAACAAAGAGCCATATCCGAAAAAAACAGTAATTTACCGGAGATTCTACGGATCACTTGCATTTCGGGATAAGTTAATAATTAGAATTTTGACTATCTGAGATAGCTGTAGTTTGGCAACCTACTATTTATACTGGGTGACGATTGAAAGTAGAATGAAAATTTGGGCTGTAGGTGGATTAACACCAGCTACCACCGGGTTTCCGGCCCGGCGCTCTACCCACTGAGCTACGAGACCCGAATGCCGACCAGATTTTAATTTCCCTTCACTCACCAAGGGTTTTCCCTAACTGAGCAGTAAGTGTGAGTACTATCAAGCGGTATTAACGTGTAACGAATTCACATGGTAGTCGAGCAAAACCCTTGTTGATTGAAGTGAAATAAAAATCTGTTCAGCAGTCCGGCCTCATAGATCAGTTGGTAACCACCAGACCGGGAACCCGGTAGTTGGTGGTTCGAATCAAACCGCGGTTCAAGTTTTTATTTTACCTTCAATCATCACCCAAAATAATAATTATCAGTTTGGCTATCTGAGATAATTGTGGTTCTGTAAACTCGTGTTGATCCTGAGTGATGACTGAAGGTCAAGTGAAAATCTTAGCCATGTTATGAATTAAACTAGGGATCACCAGAAGGAGGAGAGGTCTTGACTAGGCAGCCAGTGTGAATACGATCGAGCGAATTCACATGGCAGTCACTCAAAACCCTTGATGATTGGAGTTAAATATGAATGTGGTCAGTAGTCACATCTTATTGATTAGTTGGTGAAGAACTGAGCAGGGATCTGTTTGGTTCAAATCATCCCACACTTCACATTCCTATTTAACGTTCAATCATAACCCAGTATAGATTAATAAGTATAGTTCTGACTTAAGCCACTCATGGTCTAAGTAGCTTAGTAACAAAGTGAATCATTTAGTCGACATGAACTTTTTTAAAGCTGCAAGTACATCCTGTTGATAAATATCAGTAGTAATAACCCTCAGGTTCAGGGATTCCTTTCGACAAATTTTGGGCATCTAATACCAAGGTAATAAACATACCACAAGTGATAAAGTTAAAGACTTTCCTTTTTTCTAATAGTTGATTAACAGGTGGTTTCGTAGCTTTTGTCACGCAAGACGTTCTGTGTTGATGAGGCCAGAAACAAAAGAAAAGGAGAAAATAATCATTTCAAGATGACATGACATATATTTCAATCACTGTTCAGTGTTCGGACTAAATCGGCTTTAAAGTTTAAGATGTGCTCATTAGTTTAAATTTAGCGGTCTCAGAAAGTCTTCTACACTATAAATGGGTGCTTTTAAACAGATAATATAAAATTATCTTTTAACCTGGTTGTATGGAATTTCACTTGAATGGTCTGAATATTCTCAGAAATAGAATTAAATGGCTTACCACAGAATGCGATTGTAGCTAGCCGAGATCGCTCGAGTGGTGGAGCCCAATATCTCCAAATCCCATGACAAGCTGGATAAGAGGTACCCTTTGAACAATAAAAGAAAAAATATTTACAGGTTTATGAGAATTTATTGCTTTCAAATTATTATGCATCAAGGACGGAGATCAATTGGAGAACCACTGAAAACCTAAGAGCTCTGGACAGCTGTTTCGTTCCAGTGTGGAACACCTCACTAATGCGTGCCACTGACCATTTCAGAGATCCAAATCAATAACATTCAGACTCGACTGCCAACGCATTACAGCTGAGCCGATAGGTCCAATGGTTCATATATTTCAACTTCCATCAGTTCGCTGAACAGCATGATCTTTATGCTAACCACGTAGCTTGAACTTCCTAAGTTTGATCCCTGACGGGGTGGACGGCATGCGCCAGCCACGAGAACTAAACTAGTATAAAACAGTTGTCCAGTGCATCTAAGACTTCAGTGGTTATCCAACCGATGTCAGTCAGTGATGAATACCGACATGGAAAAAATGCAGTGGAAAATCTGCATCCAAAGGGTAACTGATGCACAATAATAATAACAATTATTATTATTTGTCCCTTAGGCTCCGAATGGAACATAGGGCTTCAGTAGCACACCACCACTTCACTCTCTTCTCTGCAGTCTTTTCAACCTGGCTCCACAACAGCCCACAAGCTCTCATTTCTTCCTCGCACGATCTCCTCCATGTCACCCTCGTCTCGGACGCCTAACTCATCGTTTCCCATTTGGATTCCACTCAAGGGACTGGCCTAGCACGTGATGTCCCCAATCGGCCTTCTCAATGTATGCCCAATCCTTCTAGACTTCCCCATATTGAGCGATAGCTTCTTGGTTGGTTGGTTCGTTGTCAGCCACGGTGAGTTCCTTGTTGCTTATTCTTTCTGGCCATCTGATCTTCAGTAACGAGCCAGCGTAGTCAGTTGTTGATGAATGTCTCTGGTGGTTTGTTGGAAATGCCTTTCGTAATGCGCAAAGTCTCTGAACCATCACATAGAAGCACTGAGTTGACTGACGTTGGTGTTGATAATCCGGATGTCGTTCATGTTTAATGCTGAGTGCAGTGAAGCAGATTCCCTCACTGATTTCAGGTTAATGAACGCCTGTCTCGCTATCTTTCCGATGCTGGCTGGCTTTGACGTCCTCGTCTGTGCCTGTGTCGCCTGTAGTTGAAACAGTGATGCATGCCTAGATAGGTGAAAGAGACTACTTCCTTCAAGTTTCTCCCGTTGATGGTGATTCGAGCTTGTTGTTGTTGGTGTTTGTGATGTTGATGTATGTGGTGTTGGTGTTGGTGTTGGCGGTGGTATTGGTGTTGGTGGTGGTTGGGTATCTACATCACCTCCGTCTTCTCTACGTTCACTTGAAGTCTCGTCTTCGCTGCCCTGCCTCTTCTGTCAACTTGTTGGATTTTGCCTGTAGATCTTCAAGTTTGTCCTACAAGACATTAGACATAAATCATCATCATCATCCTCGGTGAAGTCCTAATCTTCTATGATCTTTTCCCCGGTCCAGCCAGCGTATCCCCCTCTTCTCGCTCCCCACACTTGTCTGCTGCATGATCCAGTCCAGTCGACCACAATCAGGAAAATCATGGGGGATAGTACGCAGCCTTGTCTTACTCCTGTCTATGTCTAATGTCTTGTAGGACAAACTTGAAGATCTACAGGCAAAATCCAACAAGTTGACAGAAGAGGCAGGGCAGCGAAGACGAGACTTCAAGTGAACGTAGAGAAGACGGAGGTGATGTAGATACCCAACCACCACCACCACCACCAAGCTCCAATCACCATCAACGGGAGAAACCTAAAGAAGTTGTCTCTTTCCTCTCTCTCTTTCAGCATCGTTTCAACTACAGGTGGCGGCACGGATGAGGATATCAAAGGCAGGATCGAAAAAGCAAGACAGGCCTTCGTTAACCTGAAATCAGTGAGGGAATCTGCTTCACTGCACTCAGCATAAAGCGTGAACAACATCCAAGTTTTCAACACCAACGTCAAGTCAGTGCTTCTATATGGTTCAGAAACTTGGCGCGTTACGAAAGGCATTTCCAACAAACCACCAGAGACATTCATCAAGCAACAGCTGCCTACGCTGGTCGCTGAAGATCGGATGGCTATAAAGGACAAGCAACAAGGAACTCTGGCCTGGCAACGAACCAGCCAAGAACTCATCACCCAACAAATATGTAGAAGAAGGTGGGGATGGATTAGATTGGACATGCACTGAGAAGAGCATTCGGGGACATCACGCGCCAGGCACTCGAGTGGAACCCAGATGGTAAACGGCGAGTTGGGCCTCTGAGGTGAGGGTGATATGGAGGAGATCGTGCGAGGAAGAAATGAGAGCTTGTGGGCTGTTGTGGAGCCAGGTTGAAAAGACTGCAGAGAAGAGAGTGAAGTGGTGGTGTGCTACTGAAGCCCTATGTTCCATTCGGAGCCTAAGGGACAAATAATAATTCTTATAGTAATTATAGTAACTATAATAATACTAGTAGTAATGATAGATTATGAAGTATTTATCTTTTGTACTAGGGGGTGCATATTTTCCAGTGTTCATAAACGTAAATTTGGATGTCTATTAACTTTTTACAAAAATGGATCTACATTAAGGAGAATGCTCAAACTAGTATCAAGATTGGTAATGGAATCGAGAAAGTGCGTCATGCCTTATTTTGAACTCACTAGCTTGACTCATCAATACTTCAATCAATCATAGTGTTTCCTGTGACACTTAAACCTGGTATCCATCGCCGCAAACATTAAAGCGTTATGAACTAACCCACTGAGGTACGGTAGTCACCTCTTCTATCGAACGTATATTAGTTTTTGGTGTTAGAATCGACGTGTACTTTATTCGAGTCTCAGTGAGAAAAACATCACTTATTTCGGTGCAGGTACATCAAAATGACGAGCCCCGAATGGGATGAAACGCGTGTCATGGATTCCACTGTTAGTCAATGAGTTAATAACAGCATAATGAATATTCAGACGATGTCAAGGCATTCGTATGAGAACCTGTCTGTCAACAGAGATCTAGTAATTTGACGCAATACAGCAGAGGGAAGTTATAAGTATTCATAAGCAACTCATATAGAGGTTTACTCATATAAATTGAAGCTTGATAAAAGTAACGTCATCGAGCAAAATCTGCCAATCATAAATAGTTGTTACATCTACTCATTTTTATACGCATATAATTCTGTATACATTTGTTTTTGAAACTTTTCGTCGAAGAATAGGTAGCGTACCAACCAGTCTTGAATACATCTGTAGCATAGTTCTAAAAAGTAGAAATGAAGCATTGCGTTACGATGCATCAGAACTTATTATATCTTCAATGCCTGCTCAAAATCATCCTTGCGTTCTGAATACTTACGTAAATTATCCCTAACACTTGCTGAACAGTCTCTTTGAACTGTCAACTCAATCTGTTCCAGTATCATTTCTCAACTCATTGTTTATTTCTGTTACTCAAAACATTGGTTAACAAACATTATATGACCTCAAGGTAATAAGATTGTTAGCTTAGGGTGAGGATGGTATTTGCCTAGTGTTTTCTAAGCATAAATACTTAGTTGTGAACATTTCATTACCAGGTGTATTGGCTTTATTACTTCCGAATCTATCCAGAAGGAAAGAAAATTTATGGTTACATTTCTGATTAACGCAGCATACTATTCTTCATGAATAGTGACATTCTAGCTTCGTGTACCTTGCTTCCTCATAAGGTACAAATTTGAAAATACAGCTAGACTGTTAGTCAGAGGAACAAATTACCTGGTGCATAGTTCCTTCACTGAGGACTAACTAACTTCATGTTGTCTAGTCCAAAGTTCTGATCGAATTTTATCGATCATTTCACAATAAAGGCCACCAGACTAAGAGGTTCACCATCGTGATGCACTAGGATAGATGTTATTTGGATGAAGAAAATCGAAAGGAAGCCATGGACCTAGGTTTCGTGCAGCCTAACTAACATGCAACTTTGTGCATCGCAGTGCCAAGACTCCTAGCTTAATAGTCTCATTACAAACTGATCAACAGAATTAGATCACCACTCGGTTGTTCTCCAGTGACCAGTATCTAATCCAGTCATACATGAGGTTAGTTGTAGCCTAAATACCTCGGTGGTAACTTTGCGGACCACAGCACAGAATGATATGGGTTTAAGTTCTAGAGTGGAAATCATTCCCGTTGATGTAGCAGATACACTTTGCTGACAAGTGACAATAAGCCCGAAAACTAGGTCAAGAGGGTTTCTTGTTCATTATCGCCATCCAGCTGACAAATTAATTGGTTTTTAGAAGTGTATATGGAAAACAATAATTACGCACTTCTTGGCAGGAGGGTTTGATGCATTCATGTAACAACTGTAGTGTGTTATTTCCCATGAGTTACTTAGACACTACACCACTGTTCCCATTTTTACAATGTGTTAAATAGTAACCCAAGGATACATAAATAGTAGACTGGTAAGTTAAAAAAATCCAAAGATAAGGCATTCTTGTCCTTAGGAGAGTCTCATAAAAGTTTGATACAAAGCACAGTCAAGATACTTAGAGTGAGCGACTGTAAGGCATTTGTAGATAGCGTAAGCATTAGCCGTTAAAAGTTTTAAAATGGTGCTAACTGTGTGTTTAGGAACATACGCTTCACTTTTTATTCAAAAGAATTCAAGAGCCACACAACCCAAAGCAATTTCTGTGAGTTTATCGTCATAACCGTTTAGTGTCGGACAGTATTCTAGATCAGATAGTGAGGTCGTTACATATATCTTATTGACTCTTTAACTTTAAGGTCGAAGAAAATAAGTACCGACAGACATCCTCGTCATTTACCTCACGTTATTTATAAAATGGCCGACAGTTTTATTAATTATCAGACACTCTCTTTTCTTATAGATGAACGAAATATTGACGGAGTCCTACCTTTGTAATTTCTGTTTATGCCATTCTTTACAAAATTTCCTAGACAGAATGTGCAGGCTATCGGTCTTAGAACATAACCATGAGTTAGATGCTAGTTTGTGTACAGTT